AGACAGGGTCGTCCCAATATGCGTTTTTGCAATTTGCATATAGGCAAAAACGCATAAAAAGCTCTTCACATTTTGCTTTATAAAGAGAAGTACAAGCAACCGAAAGCAAAATAATTGGCACCACACTGCTGACAACAACCCACCGATTGACAGAGCTTTTGCGAACTTCTGAAATCAGATGGTAGCTTTGACTTCTCATCTGTGATAGCATAATTTGTGAAGTGGTTAGTTTTCCCATCAAACTAGCATTTTTCAAAAACGTTATTTCAGATCCGTACCAAATTTTGGGTCCGACAAGCAGTCGACTGGCAAGCGCAGGTTGTTTTTTCAGTAATTTGTCTCCGACATTTCACTCATGCTATTCGGAAGCGTTCCAGAAAATTCCACTCATTCTCGGACAGAAAAAAAAACTTTTTAGGTAGTGGACAAATACAGCTTTGGCAATTCTTGCTGGAGCTTCTATCAGATAGTCGTTATGCAGAATCGATCACTTGGGAGGGGACGAACGGTGAATTTAAGCTGGTCGATCCAGACGACGTGGCGCGACGTTGGGGCGAACGGAAGAGCAAACCGAATATGAATTATGATAAAATGAGCCGAGCACTGCGATACTATTATGACAAAAATATCATGTGTAAAGTGCATGGAAAACGATACGCTTACAAATTTGATTTCCAAGGTTCCTCGAAAAACACTAATTTGTTTAAACGATTTGCTTGCTTATCATTCGACTACTTCCGCATGCCTTCGTCCTTCGTAAAGAGGGTCAATGGAGAACCTTTCAAACTGAATTTAATTGCAACTCTTATATAAACAAAAGTTATCCTTTAAAAATATATACTCAATCCTTCTTTCGTGCATATATTCATTATCTTAATTTTTACATAATACCACAGCCATCATACTGATGTACTCCAGTAGTGATACTGAGAACTACACGAATTAATGGACATTTGATCGAATTAATGGACACCTTTTCAGACATTTGATCTATTAATTTTAAATAATCTGCTTTTTCTATTTTCATATTTTATAGTGCGTTATTCTAAATTGAGTAATTGTTGCTGCCATCACCATTATCATTATTATTGTTATTACGAATATAATTATTATAATCGTCATTGTTGTGACTACGGTAATTACTATTCTTAGTACTCTGTCTTA